GCCAGATTTTGGTGGCTGTCTTACTGCAAGCACAGTATATTGAAGTTGGTTACATTGTAATCGCTGTCCAATTGACGACATTGGATTAAAAATCACAGAGAAACTGGAATCGGTTTTGGCCATGCTATATACTATTTCTGTTTCTTTTTATACTTTTTTTTTTCCCCCTTTGTGAAATGTCAAAAACAAATCCAGGCATCCTAGATGATCTTCAAAAAGTTGGGTTTTTTGTTTTGTTTTTTTTTGAAAGACTGGCAATTCAACTTTAACTGAAGATCATGAAGATTTTTACTCAATCTGATGAGCGTTTTTTTTTTTTTTTTTTTCCTCCTGGATACAATGAATATGATTTATGGTTCTTTGCTGCTGCTGTTTAAATACTTTAAATTCTCTCTCCAGAGACCAATACAGTTACAGAAAAGAATACTGCCTCGTACCGTAATGGAATGGGAGAGAAACTAAAACAGGTGGACGCCCCATAGCAGTGCTCACAGCAAAGCAACTAAGAATAGTAATAGTGGAGCAGCACATCTGCTTTGACTTTGCTGTAACATAACCTTTCTAATGCTAGCTTCAAATGTACCTTGTGACTTGGTTTGTAACCTTCTCTTCATTTTTTTTTTCCCTCCTTTGCTTCATGAGAGTTTTCTTCCTGAGGTATAACTGCAGTATCAGCCTAAAGGGCTGAAACTGAATCTCAAAGTGCAGTATGCAGTACGACTATCTGATCATCGGAAAGTAGAGTGGCAGTGGGAGGCAAAGTCATTGGCACTGAATGTTCTGAGAAGGCCTCTTTTGTACTGAGATTAAGCTGTCATGAAATATTTACACTTATTTCTGCAAGTGCTTTTTTGTTAGATGGATGTGTGCTTAAGAGTTTCCTCAACCAGTATACCATCAGCATATAATCTGCCAGAGTTTTGATGCAGAAGCTAGTGAGTTTATGCCATCAGTAAATTTCTGTTCTTAAATAAAGGACTTCATATTTATGCTTTGTCATTACTGTTGTGTGTGTATCATATATATTTACATGAGCTGGTTGTACTTATTGCATGCAGTTCTATATGAATTTCATGTGATGTAATATGAATATAATTCACTTTGAAACTCCCACTACATAAAATAAAGTAGTTATAATGATATTATGAGGGGCTCTCCCAATTGATTAATCTTTTAAATGAAGTCTAAAAGAAATCCTCTACTACAAATTGAGAATAGAGGAAAATGTCTTCATATATGCGTATTTTAGGACTTCTTCAACCTTTGTTTCTGTCTCGCACTGGGAAGGTGACCTGCTTAATTTGTCACTGCAAACACTGCCCACTGCAGAAGCTGCAGAATGGTGTTGCAATAATTATTTTTTACTTTAACATGAATTAGATGTAAGGGTCAAGGAAATTAACATTAGAATACCATATCATCTAGTACATTAATCTTTTCTAACTCATCTAATTTTGTAATTAAACTAAATATTGAAACTGTCAGCCCTTCAGAGTATCTAATCTTTTTGTTCAATTTCAGCTTTTTTGTTTTTATTTAGAGAAAAGTTTATTATCAGAAAGCGTGTCAGTGAGCTGTTAATGTAATCAATTCAATTTTACTTTCCAACTATTCTTGTACTTTACTTTACAAAGTAGAAAATTAGATGTGATTAGATAATTATTATAGTTTGGTTAGAATGCATGCAATTTGCAGTGATACCAGGCACATTAAACAATGTTATTCTGCAAAACATTATCTTAAGGTCAAAAAACTCCATAGCAAATAAAGAAGACTGAAGAATGATAGGACAAAAGCCTTTATCTGTGTATTGCTGGTTCCATTTTAGCTGATATTAATATAGCTGAATAATTATCACTGGGACATGCCGTGGTTGACTGCAAGTGAATTAATCTGCTATCTCACAAAATTTCTACTTAAAAAAAATACCTGTCTTAAGGCTATTGCACATAACATCAATGTGCATCACCACAGAACAAAAATATGGCATAGCCAGAGCAATAATACATCTTACTTGACCTACCACAGTTCTCTTTCTGTTCAGCAATGAAATGAGATAGCTAGGTAATGTGAAGTCTGCTCAATACTGCCTTCCAGAAGATAAAGCAATCCACTCTCATAAGCTAGAACTTCACAAAATAGCAAGTATCAGAGAAGTTTCCTTTTCACAGAATCACAGGGCTTGGTAGGAACCTCAAGAGATCATCGAGTCCAACTTCCTGTGAAAGCATGTACCCCACAACAGGTTGCACAGTTAGGAGTTCAGATGGGTCTTATCTCCACAGAAGGAGACTCCACAACATCACTGGACAACCTGCTCCAGTGCTCCATCACCCTTACTGTGTAGAAGTTCCTCCACATGTTAGCATGCAACTTCCTATCTTCAAGTTTTAGGCCCTTACTCCTTGTCTGATCTACTACACACCACTGAGAAGAGTCTGGTTTCATCCATTTGCCCCCCACCTCTCTTTAGATATTTATAACCATTTATCAGATCCCCTCTCAGTCTTCTCTTCCCCAGGCTGAATAGACTCAGGCTGTTCAGCCTTTCCACACAGCTAATGACGCGATGGTTAACAGAGGACTAGCTGATCTAATAAACACTGTAATATGTACTGTACATAAAAATGGCATCACACCTTTGCACCACTGGACGGTAATGATATTTAATGAGTCATACTCCAAGTACAGAAATGTCAGTTAAAACTGCTCTTGTTAGCAAGTGAGCATACTTTCAAGAAGTGGGTAGCTACACTTTATTTTAAAGGAACATTTCTGAACATGGAATTACAGAACAGACTGGGGTACCTGATGTCCTGGCCATGTTGTTTGATAAAGAAATGACTACTTGGGAAAATTAAAGGTTAAAAACCAACTTCATGAAAGTAGAAAGAGTAAGCAAGAATTTCTATCTTACCACAAAAGTTTACAAGAAGATCCAAAGTAGAAATGACTGCATTTTTAAATAAGTAGACTGTATAACTTGCTCAGGCTAGGGCAGACTGCCACTAAATGAAAGCCTTTTGTGATGATACTTTCCTCCAGCAGCATATTAATATCTTGTCCTCTATATTAAATCAGAAATCAGAGAAGGATGTGACCTCACTTGCAACCTACTTTCCTTTTTTGCCAACACAGATTTGTTCTTTACAATACTATCAACTTCTGAGAGCATTTCAAAAGCCTGTGTTTAAAATATTCTGATGGTTTTTTCCATTGTTAATTTTGAAATATTATTTTACAATCTAACAGTTCCCCGTTAGTAAGGTTTTCCTGATAGTCAGCCTGAAGCTCTCTCTCATAATTCCTTCCCTTAACTGTAATTTTCTTTATTCAGATTCAGTTCTATTTATGCCACACCAGACTGCACCGTTCTTCTGCAATTGTAATGTCACGTTTTTGAGCTAAGCCTAATTTTTTCTTTCAATTATTTCTCACTGAAAGGCAAAATATTAAACTGAACATCCACAGTACAAATTACTTTTGCCCCAAAATATGTTTGCAAATTTCTGAGGTTTATCTTATTTTGTGTGTTTTCATAAGACTTCAGAAAACAGAGTCACCCTGGCTTTTTTGTTTTCCTCGTTATTTACACCACCCACCTACTCATTGCTATCCCTGAAGTTTATCAGCAATGCCTGCTTTCTCTTCCAGACTAGTAAGCATACTAAAAAACCACAAAATTCCACATTATGCAAAAAAAATGCTTTAATAAGACAAACTGTCCTCTTTGTGCTCTTAATACCTTGAGTTTCTTTAGTTTATTCTTCCTCTCCCTGTAGCCCAGTGATATCAAAACCACTGAGGCAAGTTTTGTAGAATTAAATTTGCCTTCCTATGCTCTTTGCAAGTCTGTGACTAATCTGCAGTTCAACTCTTATCTTGAAGGCATATTATGTCTCAGCAGTATTTCAGTTTATGATAACATCAAATTAGACTTTATTTGTAAGTATTGCAGTTATGTTCTGCAATAAGACTCCTTTTCTCTTCCTTTTCACATTTTCTATCAAGTTGTTAAATGTAATTCACAATTACTTTTGGCAATTCTGTCCTACGTATGAAAGTTTTTGTTTTGTGATTCAAGGCAAACTTCATGTTAATTTTAAGTCATTGCAAAAAGTTGGAAAAAGTTTACTTTTCTGTCACTGCAACTATAAATACAACTTGCCCCTTAAGGAATGATCAAAATGAATAATCTGTCTATAATTCCAGATTTTGAGAACGAATTTTGCCTTCATAATCACAGTCAACTCACAATACCTCATAGTTCATGCAAGTTGTATGCTTTAGATTCACCTAAATAGGAGCCATGTGTGGTTTGTACGCCACACTGAAAACATACATTGACAAAGCCTCTAAACCTCTAAAGTCACAGCTGACCTTAACTCCCCCCCCCCCCCCCCCCCCCCCCCAAGAATGGGGTCACACAGGACAAAGCTAGCTGAACAGACCTGAGCCACTTTAATAGAACAAGGACTACCTGAGCTAACTCTGTGTACAGTATATCATCATTATGTCACAACTTTTAACATCCCCCACAAAACCTGCAATACCAGTATCCAAACCTCCATTACTGCAACAGGGGAAAGTTCACTGACAGTGAGTGAATTGGTAAAAAAAAAAAAATTAAGCAAACTACTCAATGCTGGTAATTTTGGTCCTCCTCCATCCCTTGTCTCCTGTTGCTCTATTACTTCTTACAGGAAAATCACAGGTAGAATATGTGACAATATTCACAACTGAATATATACTTCATAACTGCAACGAGAATCTTTTACAAGTCCCGCAATATAGAACTGCAGGGACTTGATCTGCAGAGGGAACATCATTGTCACAAATACATCTGTGTGGTTTATTCACTGTAATGCTGCCAATTAAATAAGGTCTAAGAGTTAAGTACTTCTTACCCTCATTCCTCTAATTATAAACTTCAGGACAAAATCATCTTCTACAATGAAATAAAACTAGAAGGAATTAAGTAAAGTGATACAAACACTTACAGTCCATAGATCTGTGGAGCAATTTCCAGTCGGTTCAGATGCATGTACAGCTCAATATCATGTTTCTTCAGCAGCTGATCCTGAATTTGGTTTACTTTAGTTACAATAGCAATAGACGGGCCTAAGTCCTGTGGCCTTGCAAATGGCATAGGTGTAATCATCACATCTTTCTCCTGCAAGCACAGAAAACAGGAAAAAAAAAAAAAATTGAACACCCCTTGCTGTTTACCTATGCTACAGAAATTTTTTTTTTACTTAAAATCACTGGTGTCAAAATAAACTTAAAAATATCAATAGTCTTTTCCTTTTCCAGAAAAAGAGCAATTTCAAGTAACCACTTCTGTGGCACCTATTGTGGGTTTCCCTTCCCCAGGCATTTCATTCCCTTGTTCTCCAAGTCAAATCTATGTAAGTGCTTTACTTTCCACATGAGGATAAAGTGTTGACAGGTAGAATAATCAGCTTTAATATAAACAGTACTTGTCAGACCAAAAAAATACAGATGAATAGTAACTTTGTAGAGAATATATGCCCTTACAGGACAGTAAGCTGCATTCCAAACAGCAAATAACTTATTTTTAAATAACCTTTCTAAACAGGTTTTCCTTACTCAGAAAATCATGTGGTTGTACCTCAATATATAAAAGTCTTTAATAAAAGATTAGAAAATCTTTAAAGCCACAACAAAATAGAGCAGTAAGATGAACTTAAAGATAAAAATGCAGCTGGCTGGACTCAAAGGTTGTGTTAATTATGTCACAATCTGTAAGATGACACATGCAGGTGAAAACAGAAGAAAACTACTGGAGCATAGGCATCCTAAATCAGAAACTCATGGAAAGGAGGATAAGAAACAAAAAAGAATAAATCAGACATTTCAAGAGAAAGACAGGGGAAAGGGAAACGAAGAATTAACCTGTTAGAAGCAATGCTAAAGTTATTAGAAAATACTAGAAAATTAGAAAGAAGATTGGAATAGTAAGAAGATTCCATGAAGATTTTGTTTCAATTTGTAATCATGGCTCTCAGAACTGAAAGCTTCATTTAAAAAATGGTTCTTATTTTTACGTACTTTTATTCATTGTATTGACAGAGAAGCATTATCAAGGTCAAAGGGTTAATATTTTAAGACAACTTAATTACTGCTATAACTGTTGAAAGACAGCTTCACTTGGTTCAGTTCAGTGAAGAGTACATTATTTCTAACACTTGATAACAAAGAAAGGTGTTTTTTTTTTTTTTTTTTTCTGTTGTATAAACTATCTCCAAGGTTGTTTCCTATGGTATTGTCCCCTTTTCAATCCTCTTCTCTCTCCATCAGCAATTTAAGAGGAAAAAGAGCAGTATGCATATTTCACAATTACTTATAACATGGTTTAATATTCAAGTGGACACTTAATATCTAATAATCTCTATCAAATAGCTTACAAAAACAGGCTTTTGTTGATCTCCTTTGCTTGAAATTTTTGCTCTTAATTATTCCATTTCTGTACTGCAGAAAATAGAATGTGATGCTGAATGCTGATTTCAGGTAAAATGCTTTTATTTAAGGATCTGATAAATTATAAATTGCATCTTAAAATCTGCATCATTATTGCTTTGCTATGACAATTTCAGCAAAGGGAATGATCTGTCTACTATAATGCAGTGGTTTTGCAATGCTATTGTAGTAGCAAGAGACATTCAACTCAGGTGTCCTAGCAAATCACTTGACCAAAGCTCCCTCACAGTCTGTCAAACAAGGTTCACTGAAATGGGATTGTTTCATTCAAAAAACTTTTGTGTTCTGCCAAAGAGAAATTTAAAATAAAACTTCTAGCATCTTAAGGGTCAATTGGAAATGCTGTTTATTATTTAAATACTAATGTTCTTTATAGACAAATGTATTTTGTGAAAGGGCATTTCTCCTACCTATTGTTTATTACTAACTTCCTTAATGAGTAAACTTTTTTTTTTTTAATATTTGTTAATTATAAGAAGAGAAGAATATTCAAGCTGAACAGTTATATCATGGAAAGCATAACAGCTATGTAGAACATGTGAATCATGAAGTAACCATATTTGAATAAATGCTTCAAGAAATACTGAAAGAATGACCTTCACAAAAGAACAATCTCATATTAAAAGAAGACATTCACCAAATTTTGCACATAAGTCAAAAAAACATGCAGACGAAGCAACAAGCCTGTGATGATAATTAAATAAATCTGTGACTTGGAAAGATTCTTATTTCCTTTCCTAAGAAGTAAAAAAAGTAAGAAGAGTGTTGACTCATGAAAGATAATCAGAAACTAATGGTAATAGCCACTAAGGAGAAGAGGCCAGCAATACTCTCCTCTGAACACAGACAGAAGCAAAAAAATTTTTATAGACAAATTCTTATCTAGAAATCTCAACATTAGACTCTTTCAAACTATCAGATGTTTTAAAGCAAGAGTAGGTAGTTGCCTAAATCAGCCTTTACACCATTAGTTGTCTGTGGGTTTATAGCCATCTTTACAAAACTACCAGACAAACTCAAGTGCCAGAAGATTCAGATTACCAAAACTAACGCAAACTTCCTCCTCAGGATGAGTACCAAAAAGAAGTTACTTGTATCTCACAACATTTGTGCATAATTCAGCACGGACACACTGCTGACTGTGAAAATCAGCACGGTTAAGAGCATCAAATAATATATGCTGCCTTGCCATTTTTAAAATCACAGGGTAAGTAAATGGTGTCCATCAAAATGCAGTTCATCGGAACCACAGAAATTAACTCCATTAACAGAAATCTTCAAAGCATGACAACCTCTGTGGGCAGGAAGATAATAATAATCAATGTACAGACTGTCTGTGCCTCATGATTTGGGGCACGAAGATATCTGGTGAATGACTAGAGTCTGTAAGAGAAGTTTGTTACCTCCTTTCATGCAGTTTGTTTGAAAAAAAAAAAAAAAGTAAATTCAGTCAATTGAAATTCCTAAAAAAAAAAAAAAAAAAAAAAAATCACATCAAACATGAAAGACATCGCCCAAACAGACAAACAGAAAGATGCTCAAATGAACTAAGACAACTAATCCATCAAAATGCTTAAGTAGAAATGACTTGCAGTGCCTCTGCCTAAAATTCAGAATCTGTGTGCCCACACTCATACTCACTACTTATTACCATGCCACAAGGGACAAAGCTCTCCTCTTTTTACGAGCTCCTAAGTCTTGGCAAACCTTACACAGGGTTAGCCATCTACTGCTACCTTGAAATAGAAATTATCAAACCCAAAGGAATGCAGTTCACAATAAAAAGACAAAAAGGACAGCTCAGAGATTTGCTATGCTATTAACAAGACAGCATTGGATTCACTTCTGATAGTTTAAATATGGATATCTGTGAAATGTAACTGAAAACTTTAAGTATTAGGAACAGAATCACCAAATCCTGCCACAGAACATTACCTAACAGAACACGTATTGGAATGGCTGGTATCTGATATTAATACAACTTATATATTCATGCATTTAGGAAACAAATGCTACAGTTGTAAAGAGAGGCTAAGACATAGCGCAAGTATAAAACACGGACAGATTTCTCTCATTAACCACTAGGGAATGCCATAGCTGGAGAAGCTCCTCTAATGGCAATTGGGAGTAATGGAACCAACTGTTAGAAGCTATAAAATGTAACACGTATCTCAGAGCACATGCTTTCATTGCTTCATTTGTGAAGATCCAGACTTCATTATGTAGCCAATCCACAGTCATGATTGTAAAAAGAATACGTACAAGAAAGGATTATTAAAGATTATACATGTTTGCAAAGAACAAGAACAAACAACTAGATATTAATCCATGTGCTTTGCATTATTAATTTTTTATGCCATGAAAGAGCTAGAAAGGGCAATGTAAACTTTCACCTTCTACCCAGGCACTGTAAATCTGTAAGCTGACCTAGTTATTTCCTGGAAGAAAATTCAACCTCAAACTTCACCACATTTGTGACAGAAATTGGAACAAATATGTTTGAATACACTGAATTCTGAAAAGCTATGCACAGAGAAGTGCCTCACAGCTTTATTGTTAGAATAAAAGTGACTATGTAATAAGTTCATAAAATTTGTATCTCATATGCTTTATCTGCAGTTACTGAAAATTATGTAAAACCTAAATCCAAATGGTAATTTATAACTGTAGATAGAGAATAATGAAATCAGAATTGTTTGAGCTGGAAGGGAGCTTTAAAGGTCATCTGGTCCAACTCCTCGGCAACGAACAGGGATGTCAGGGCAGTGGAGAGGTGGGGGGGGGTCACCTCCCCTGACATACTGGCCACACTTCTTTTGATGCAGCTCAGGATATGGTTGGCTTTCTGGGCTCTGAAGGCACACTGCTGGTTCATGTCCAGCTGCCATCCACTAGTATCCCCAGGTCCCTTTTGGCTGGACTATGATCTATCCTTACATGTCCTAGCTTGTAAGACAGAAGGACTTGCCTTGATCCAGATGCAAATTTTTGCATTTGGATTTATTGACATTCATGAGACTCACATGGGTCCAGTTCTTGAGCCTATCTAGATCTCTCTAAATGGCATCTTATCTCTCAGATGTGCCAACTGCACTTCACAGCTTGGTGTCATCTGCAAACTTGCAGAGAGCACACTCAATTCCATTGCTGATGTCACTGATGAAGATGCTGAAGAGCACCACTCCCTGCACTCACACCTGAAGGGCACAACTCACCACTAATCTCCATTCAGACACTGAGTCACTGACCACCACTCTCTGGTGGTGGTCTCTCACAATCTATGTGCCTTAGCATAGCTTCCAGGAAGATCAGTTCCATGACCTTCACTAACACAGAGACTGACAGGCTGTAGTTCCCCGGATCGTACTTGCTACCCTTCTTAAAAGTGGGTGCTATATTGCCTTTTCCCTGTCACCAGGGACTTCAACCGGCTGCCATGACTTTTCTAATATCATTGAGAGTGATTTAGTGAGTATGTCAGCCAATACGGGTCCCTCAGGACTCTGGGACCCATGGACTTAGCAGATGTTCAGTTTCCTCAGGTGGTCGCAAACCTGATCTTCACTGACAGTGATAAGAACATTGCTCCCCCAGCCTTTCTTATCTGCTGTTACAGTTGATGTTACAACTGGAAAAATTATCATGGCGAAAATAGAAAAATAAACAAACAGGGAAGCAATACTCACCTGTACCCAAAGATCTAGGTTCACAAAGAAAACACCACAGAGGAGGAATCTCCAGAAAGAGATCCTTCCCAGTGGCAGTCACCCTTAAATGGGGTCTAGGAAAGATGCAGCCAGGCTCCACCCTTTCCAGTCACACAGCTGAATTGCTTTCACCTGTGCTCCCATGGCTGACTCAGTCCTTGCTTCAGGTGATCAATCAGTGGTTCAGGCAGTGACTCAACAGTTCCCATACACCTTCCAACCCATCTGCTTAAGATGTGTAAAAAGCAGTTGCCAATGAAGACTGAGGCTGGGTATTTCAGACTTTTCATTGTCCATTGTTACCAACAAGCCTGCCTGCATTACTCACTATGGCAGGTATACCTTCTGGGACTTAAGATACCAACGCTCCATGTTGTGTAAAATATATACATAAATACATTTAAAAATTTAAATACAAAAGAAGCCTTTAAATAGCACTTGGACAACTATCTTTTACTTCAACTGACAGACCAAACCATCTGCAAAACTAGTACATGCTAATTAAAGTTTGCAAGTATGGTTTTTTGTGCACAGATAGGTGCACAAAAAATAGGTATCAAAAAATGACCAAATTCTTGCTGCTTTTTTCATTAACTTTACTTGCCCCATGGTTTCAGTGAAAAAATGATGAAGTACATCAAGCTGGAACTGAGTCTAGAGGCTAATTCTTTTAGTATATAACACACTGAAATTTTTGGACACCTGCAACATGGATGTTTTGCTAGAGTCTTCTATCTACACTTCAGCAAAAAAACATTTTTCAGTGTTAAAGAAGAGAGGTATAAAAAGGGAAAGAGAATATTTGAGAATCTGGTCACCTCTTCCTTCCTCTCGCTGGTGTGATGTGACAACAGAAAAAATGTAATTGAAGAAAATTTCAAGCACTTGACTGAGGCAAAATGGACATAAGGAATTGTTAAATCTGCCGTGCGTGAAAAATGGTTATTACAGGCAAGGACTAGATAGCTCTGCAAAGAGTTCAAAGAGGACAGGAAAAATAATAGAAAACAAAAAGCTCTGTAGAACTATACATAGAAAAAGGTTTTCCATGAAAAGAAGAAGCATACTAGCTGCAGTGAAAAGCTACACATGTGATCAAAGGGCACAGACATTGCCTTAGAACATGCTCAGGCCAAGAAGAAAAAAAGGAAGGAAAAGAAAATCGTTGACAAAAAGAGATGGTTAAGAGAAAAAAAGTTGCTTTAAGAGAAAATATATTATCATCTTCAAATTACTTCAATCCTATTAAAAACCACATTTGCTTAAGAATAAAAACAGTACTTTTTAAGGTAATATTTACCTTCTGACTGTCATGCTCAAAAGTTGAAAACCAATGCTCTGCAGTCTTCATAAGACGTGTGAACATTGCACTGAAAGGGGAAAATCCAGAAACGTGGTGTTAAATAATGTATTACATTATTTAATAATAAGAGTAAATTAAATGTAAAGGAAGTTGTTTAGACTTACTAGGCATCATGTTCCAGATATTCGGGATTCAAAAGAACTTTCATTTCCTCACTGCAAAAATCAACAGTGAACAATCTAAATGTGAATGTTTATTTTTGGTCAGTGTTCTGTATGTAATATTATGTATTTATAAGCTAACTTTCATATAAAGAGCAAATGAGAAAACTAGCCTTTTTAATTAAAAAGAGCGACTCCATTGAACAAATGAAGTCTTTCCTTTTTATAAAGATCAAAAACAAATTAGCTGCCTTGTCTACACTACAATGAAGTAACCATCTAATTATTCCAAATAACAAATTACTGAATGTCACAATGTATTATTTGAGTATGCTTGATCTAGAATAATTGATTGCTGCACAATCTATCACTGTTTGTCCAAAACAACAACAAAAAAATATGGTTACTGGTCAAATATGCAGTATCAAAACATTAATTTATTTTGTTTTAATAGCCTGTATTTTATTGTACTTTAACAGCAATTAATCAGTGACAGCACCTCTTTTCCATCTACTTTGCTGTGTAGGTCTACTTTTTCAGTGGCAGTGAAACGGAATGCTCTGCATAACATATGGTAATTTTGAGTTACTTTGCAGTGAAGAGCATTTTCTAGGGAATTTCAGGATATCTGAAGACATACACTGAATAAAATACATACTTGTAAATAAATTCCATCCTTACACTAATACTACGTTTGGACAATCATATTGTGGAGTACAATATTATATGGCATAAGTAATTAAACTGTTTTTTCTTCAACAGTAGACTCCTTAGGTAATGATAAAAAAAGACAAAGAAATTGATCAAATATCACAAATGATTCAAGCAGGAAACCAGTGCTTTGTTGGTTTTCTTTAAAGGTTTACATATAAAGGAAGAAAAAAAGCATCTGAACTCGGTTAGCAGACAAGCATATGTGATGTAGCACTTCCTATATAAGTGAATAAATATGTGCACACACTGCTTGATTGAAATGGAGAAACAATACCTAAACTTACTGTTACTACCATGACAAACCATAGTCAGGTATTGCAGCTACAATACTGCAGATACTGAAAGAAATATCAATCACAGCAACTTATCTACATCGTTGATTTTGTCTTTTAAGATTTAAGGAAAGAAAGTTGTTAATGTGTGCATTCTAAGACCATTTTGGTACTCCACTTTCTATCTGCAATGACAACACTAAGCTTTTCCTGGCAATAAGAAACCATGAGGTAAAACAGTATGTACATAACCTTTTTTGATTAAGGTTTTCCTTTGGGTTTGTTGGGTTCTCTGGCTGACAGCTGTGAACCAACCACTGTCTACACTTTAAAAACCCCTTTCAGAAGCTATGGTACGGAAAATGAAATAAAAGCATTCCCATAAAAGTACAAAGATGTAACAGTTTTTTTAGGTCCATTTCTTAATTATAAATAATAATCAAAAAACACATATGTTGTAGTCCAGCAAACTTTATATATTTTATTAAAAGAAGAAAAATATTTAATACTTTAAGAATAAAACAGTATGCTTGCCTTGGTTGTGCAGCTTCACTGGCATGTGAAAAAGCTTGGTGGTCACAATGCAGGATAAAGACAATGGGAGCTAAGAGTTCATGCATACCCTAAACATAAAAAGATGCAAAGTATAGTAAGAGTTTTCATTCATGTTCATGCACAGCATCAAGTAGCCAGTAACACCAGGCACAGGTGAACACATGACCATTTATTTTCTTTAAAAAAAAAAAAAGGTTTTATATGCAATGATTTTTATTCTAAATTCTGATTAAATACAAGTGTTTATTTTGCTAAAATATGAGAAGACAAGTTATTCTCCCTTTTTCTAACATGACAGACAACAAATTGGCAGTGGTAGGCAACCCTGCACCTGGCAATTTGCTCCAAGATCTATATTCATAAATATAAATTTTATTTATGTTAATTATAATAATGATGTATAGTACAAAGATCTGCAATAAGGACAAATTACAAAAATTTATAATTGTGCTTTACTTGATAATGTTCCAAAACCAGCACAGCAGTAGAAGAGATTAGGGCAGCTATTTGGGTAATTAAAAAATTAAAATTCCATTGCTATGGACATGAAAAATAGTCTTTTTTACCTTTTTTTTAATATAGCATTTAAAAAGTCATTATGTTAATATTAAAAATAAGCTCGTTATTAAAGGAACGTATAGGAGATCTGGAACTGTTCCATTACAGACCTGTATTTATGTACACAATGGGCTGTGAGGCTTTGGAACACATTGCCCATAGAAGATGTGGATGCCCCATTCCTGGAGGCATTCAAGCCTCCAAAATCTTGTACGTTGTCTGCAGCTTTTGGATTCCAAAACTGGCTCTTCCTCTACTTGCTATGGTCTTGGTTTGTGCCTCTACCACAGTCAGAATCTTAGCAAATCTCACTGTTTTTGTTTGTTGGGATTCTCTGGGCAGTATCTTTGCATATTATTAAGATCTCAGTCAAAGAGATTATGATTTGAATTCTAGGAATACTCTCCCAACAGGTCTCAGCTGTAGAACTGTGATTTTATATGTAGCATTTAAAGCCAGCATCATACATATTAGGCAGATCCAGTACCAGAAAAATACCCTTTGACTTTTATTGGAAATATTGGAGATTTTCCTTAAGCAGTTCAAACCGAGCTGAGAGAAGATGACTCAGACAGATGTGGAAGACAATTGTCTATCCTATCAATCCATCTATCTCTACTACATGCTAATGAATCTCATTTATTCGTAGGAGGAAATTCCAATATTTGGCAGTAATGAGGAAAAAAACAGGTGGTGGTGGTGATGTAAATGTCTTTGTGTGCTGTCAGCTGAAATCCTGGGAAAATTTCCATTTCTTAGGACTGACACTGCTCAAATGGCCACAGCCAAGTGGCTGTAGGGCTGCCACAATAGCCACTAGGCAAAGCTAAAATCAGCAAGTCTACTGATGACTGAAGTTTTTCTTTCTGATTTCAGAATCTTCAAAAGATGAAGGCTAAACAGAAATTCAATTGAAACAAAACAAACAAACAACCAAAAAAGGGTGAAACCCAAGATTCTCATGTAGCCACTTGATTTCAGGAGAGAATATAAAAAATTCCCAAACACAACAATATAGTTAAAATAACAAACTGAGAGTTTCATATTTCTGAAAGTCTTATGGTAGTACCAAGAAAGAAATAGGAGAGACAGGGAGATAGGCCCACAATTAAAAGATAAATAGAAATGGCAAAATACTTAAATAAACTGTTGATAACATGAGATGTACTTCCACACATATTCACAGACCTCAGATAATTAACAGCTCCACGTCTACTCTTTTATTCACCTTCACGTACTAACATGAAATAAGAGAAATGGAAATGCCAAAAACTTGACTATCTAATAAAACTATCACCTAAGCTGTAAACACAGAAGTAGAAGAAAAAGAAAGAGGACATAAAATAAGAATTAGTTATAAAAGATAAAAGCACATCATACATTCTTCCAACATAATAATGTATCAACTATATAATAAAGCAGAATCCTAATGTGGCTGCCCACATACAACAAAAACAAAACAAACAGATGATGAAATATCAGGATTTCAAAAAGATACCTCTGATCTTTCAGTTACAAGAATACTTCAAATGTTTAGAGATTTTTAACTTGGCAAGAAAAGCCACCAATGTAATATGCATATACATACTTTTTTCAATGCTGCATTTTACTAAAACTCTTTAGTGTTAATAAGTTGACAGAGCTCCGATAATTTTATGACACTTCCCAGCTGCAACAAAGTATTGATTTCATAGTGCAGTCTGTGGTTTAGAATGAAAACCAGAAATACAGCACTTCTATGAAAAGTGAATCGATGCATTTCAAAATTATATTGGCTTCTCTAAGGTTAATCAAATCATGAGTGAATAATGGTCAGCCTAGTGATTTAGCTTAATTGTCCCTATTTCTTTTCAGAGTACCTATGACCAGAATTTTGGCATCAGTCTTACAGAAGAGTGTTAATAGTAAGTTTTACTCATTTTCAAGTACAATATACTATTCTCTTTAAATGTTGCATTTACAGCTGCTATTTAAAAATTCAATGATCCCAGTGACAATTCTGTCTTTAAAAATCTCTAATACAGTTTCCCAACATTATGTTCTATTTGAGTAGGGACAGAAATGCTTCTTTCTCCACCAAATAAAATTCTCCTCCATGATTGTCAAAAAACAACAAAGCCTACTACAAAGACAACTTTCATGCATATATGCAAATTAAGCAAACACTGATTCTTCTTAGAATATATACTGGTGCTATGTATTTATTTCTATAAAATATTGTAAATATTTTAGTTCTCTTTGTAGGAATGCAAATTCTCTAGGAATAAGAACTTTTTCCAAATATTTGGAAGAGAAACAGTTGTTAACAGAAATAACTTGTCATTTATTGTCAACTATCATAATGATGATAGCAAATATAGCTCTTGCATGTGGTCATACAAGTGCAAGAGAACAACAGGACCAGTCCTGTGATGGGTACTGAATACAAAGCCAAAATTCAGAATTTGGGCTTTGCATTCTGGCTACTGCAGAGAAAGCATCTTGAAAGAGATTATTTACTGATGAACTTTTGTTATCTTCAAGAAAATACACTATGCTTTGATTTAATTAACCTCATCATGGTGAGTAAATGGTAAAAACAACCAAGCAAACTTGTAGGACAGGAAGGCTGACTACTGCATAGATATTTGATAAAAGAGAAAAAGATATGTCCTGTTACCACCACAAATTCTGTTTACTACTAGCTAATTCTTAGAAGAGAACTGATGATTGTAAAATAAATGATATCTAAAAGAGAAGAACTTGTGGAGAAAAAAGCAGGATTGTTACCAATACAAGCTCAGCAACTGTAAAAGAAAGGGTCTTTTAGAATGAAGAAAGAAAAAGAGATAGCATGTGACAAAAGTAACGTCTTCATAAAAAGAGGAAAACCACAATCATCTGCTATTTTGTGAACGTGGCACAGCACCATAAGACTTGGATGATACAATGAATCACTTCGAAGATAATAAATACATCATTTTTCATAATTCAAATTTATTTCAGTTTATGCAATTTAAAGATGGTAAAGTGTAGTTGTCCTGTAGCAACACCATCCTGAAATTACTGCATTACTGATGCAATGAACACCAGTTGAAAACAGAGGTAAAGAAGTTTTCTTTGTCAACAGCCTGTAGGCTCACAAAATTGAACCTGTTCTTTTATCTGCCTATGTTCATTTAGCCCACCAAGCAGTCTTTATTAAAGCTGAGGCATCAGGCAGTCAAAGTTCATTAATACCATTTATATAATCTCTGCAGTTTCAATTAACTCAGCAAGACATTCTACTACATGATAACAGTCTCATTAATTCAATAAAATCCCATAACTATTAACAATATGGTCTATGTTAAACGGGGTGTCACCTAGTAGAAAATAATAGCTTTAACAGCTTGTGATGAAACTCAGGGCTTTCTTTTTTTAAAATTTGATCTGGCTAAATATTCCATCCTTATGTAGAAAGGTATTATTTCTTGGTGAGGAATCAAGAGGATTTTAAATATGAACAGAGGGTAATTAAGTCCTTTTAAGTCATATCAAAGAGTAAAATAATACTTCTTGTTCAATAAATGATAGACTACATTAGAAAGAATGCGTTCTTCCATTTTCCCATCATCAGTACTCTGGCCTATATTCACTAGAAAGAGGAGGCTGAATACTGCTGAAATATTTCCTGTAGCAGTGCCCTTTAAAACACAGTTCACTAATCTTATTTTTCTTACTATTATGCATGACTTTTCCTTGCTCAGAGTCTGTCAAACATAAAAAGTAACTGGTTCATGGAGATTTTACATGTTTGATCACTATATATTTGATTTTTGATATAAGTATCTGGTCCTTGAATTTGTATGCGTAGGTCATGTCATGAACCACAACAAATTTCCTGGCTAGGGACAGGATGGTTGCAGACCATGCCAGAGAGCACATAGTGTGTTATAAAAGTCTTCACATTTACTTAAGATTTTGTCCTACCTAAAGCTTGCTGCTCTACAGTTTAGCCTTTGTCCATGCATACAGTATCCCTCAGTTTGACAGTCCATACTCTCCCCACAGTTAATAGCCTGAGGAAACAAATACAAATATACTTACATCTATAATTTTGCATATTGGTCTTGCTACATTAACTCAGTATCAAGCTCATATTCACTTCCAAACATTCAGAAGAAACATTAAATTTCTTCTCATCCCATCTGGATGTATATTCAGTGGTTTTAAAGGCTACCTTTGCCATTTTGACAAAAATGGTGCGAGCAGTATCTTGTGGCAGTGCCATAAAAGTGGTATGTGTCAGCACCCTTCTTCAGTCAATAGATATTTATCAGCTGCACTGCATTTGGTTGCTGCATGGCTATCTTTTATGTAGCATAGCACTATCACTTTGAGGAAGAACTTAAAATACTATATAAAAAAGTATATAAAACACTATATAAAAAAGTAGTAAATTTTCAGAAGTTTTGTTTAGTTTTGTTTGTTTATTCAGTGCCATTTTTAATGCCGCTGCATACCAAGAAAGCTTCTTTTTATTCTTTTTATTTTACCAGCATTGAAGTAGAGGATGTTGTTTATAAAGGGTTTTGAAGTTAGATGACTAAGAAACCTGAAAGAAAACAATTTGAGGGACTGCCTTGTGAGGAGAAAGCATATGTTATTCAATGTTACTTTTCTTACTGTACAGCTGACAAGCAGCTCTTTGATTACTATAGCATTAGGATACAACTTCAGATACAACAGAACTACATTATTGTCAAACCATACAGAAAATGTTGAGTAAATGAATGCCACCTGTACTATATTTTCATTACCTGTTTATAGAGCAACTGCTCATTTTCTCTGGCATAGCAGAACAGAACATCTGTAAGAATTTTCCTCACATTCTCTTGCTGGAAATACTGCATTTCAGGAAAACTGAAAATGAAGAAATACAACAACAGTAAGCAGTATAGCCCAGAAAATCTCAGCCACTGGTGTTCCACAAATATTTTTAGGTAAGACAGAAGTAAGACATCTCTCCTGTCTGTTTTCCCATCTCTCTTTAAATTGTCGGTGCTGCTGGAATACGAATACTTGGAAGGACTTATTTGTTCTTCAACTAAATTTCTGATCAGTGTTTAATATACATCAGTTTATTACATGATGATATCAGTGGTTATATTCAAATGTGCAATGTTTTTCATCATTTTGAAAACTAGAGAGATGCTGGAATGAAATGAAATGACAGGTTGCTTTAATCGTCAGTTTTCTCTAATCACCAATCCACTAAAAATATGAACAACTTGAAGAACTTAATCCAAATAAAACAGTGTCCTCTGTGAGTCCATTCTGAGGTGCCTGGACAATCAAGATCCTTTGCTCTTCAAATTCCATGTCATGAACACAAGCTGGCTTGAAACAAAATGAATGGAGACAGAACAAGAGTATGCTGAAATGATCCTGAAGTCAAGATTGTGAATGTGTACTGTTAAACCCAATAGACCAGATGGCTCTGGGCTCAGGCAGCACAGCATCCCAAAACTAACTTAAGCACCAAGATAATGCTCGACTGGCTGTCAGTCTCCCACTGCCAAAACTAAAACTCGTGGATGTGTGATCAGCAAAGCCCAACTCCCAAACACCACCTCCCTCCCAAAACTGGTCATTAACTTGATTCAGGTACTGGAAATCTAAGCACCAAAGAACAAATCTCCACAGACACCATCACAGCTCATATGAAATTCTCATATTTTTTCTTCTACGTTGGGCTGTTAGCTGTAACTGGATCATCAGTCTGTCCTGCAGTTTCAAGAACAGTTCTTCATTCCTCTTAAGATCAATGCTGTGCAGAGGAGTACAAAAGAGAAGAGTACAAAAGCTACAATATGTTAAAGAAATTCATAGAATTTCCAGTTCTACGCTGGAATAAAATTGAAGAGAGTGTGCCAGAAGGAGCATACACATAAAATTCCAGTATTTCATGCATATCTGAGAAATTGAAAGCGTATTAAAGGCAAGATTAATAAAATATCTTACAGTTGACATGAAAATTGAAAACCTAATTTTCTTCAGCTCCAATAAAAGCTCCAACATATCTTACTTGCATCTTTGGTTATGTGGCATTTCACTGTCTTTAGGAGCTTTCTCTAATAAAATTACAAAAACACTGGATACTTTGGCATGGTATGAAGTAGTTGTAATGTGAGGAAAGGGGGAAAAAGCTTATGGGAAAATCCTGTTATTTGGGAAAATGCATGTTTTTGTAATCTGTAACTATTCTGACACTACTTTCACAAAGCATTCTGTTCACTGACTGCTGGAAGCAGGAAAGAAACTGATTATGCAGGATGCACTTTAATGAGTAAGTGCACAAATAAAAGTGTTTCTATGCTTATTGAAGAGGTAACTAGATGGCAAAAATATTTTACGAAGCAAACACCCCAAACCACATCCAACTATGTGGAATAATAGCAAATTAAAAAAATAAATCTGGAAAGGTAGAACGACAAAAGAAAAGATAGAGTTGGAGAAGGGAAAATGGAAGACAATGATGTTAGGATTCAGAATAGACTTCTGATATAAAGGTTATAATATTGTCAATTTCAAAATGAAGTCACATGGACTGGAGGAAAGTTTTCTTCAAGAAACATTTGCCTTGCCTGTTTCCAAGGTCTTAGCTACAGTGCTAAACTTTAGACCAGTTTTATTGACTCTTGTAAAGCTTATCACAGAGAAAAAATAAGTAATTACAAAAGATTACATGCAATAAAACGACGAGTTTTAACAAATACTGTGGTCATCTCACAGAGGTAATAACAAGGAATGAGAGAAATAGCTAGAAAGGTGCTTTGAAATCCTTGGATGAAAGATCTGATGCAAGAGTCAAGGCACAGAAGACATTATGGTTTGAACACAGAACATGGAAGTACTGAGAAAGGCATTGGGATGAATAGTGTAACATTTTCCTGGCACCTGGTGGGGGTAATGGTAGACCAACATTTGGATACTTGTATGTACTTGTACTAATCACATTACTGTAGAGGAAGGACACAGCTGAGACCAAAAAGGTGCATTACAGCAGATGGCAATCGACATAATTTAGGGGTTTGAAGAGATTATTTCTGAAGGACTGTTATTCAGTCCTGCCCTATGAGTTTTAGAAAGAGAAGACTAACAAAGAAAACTCAAAAATACACAGAGATATCTGTGAGGATCTAGTAATACCAGAGATTGTGACAGAGAGGATAATAAAAAAACTCATGAATAAGCTGGCTGAAATATTAATTATGGTAAATGTAAATACAAGAGATCACGAGGGAACTCTTAGTTCAGGACGGATTTTTATGGAGAATGTCATTTTATGACTAAAGCACTGTTTTAGAAATACAGTATCCTTAAGCCAGGCAAGGCAAGAATACAACTTTCTATGAATACCAGAATATTACATTTAATTATAACTCTGATAAAGACAGCACAAGGGAACGGGAATTTTACTAAAATGTTTCACCCTAATTGCTAATTAAAAAAAAAACCAAAAAACTGTGTTCAAATCCTTACTTTTTGAAAGAGAAGATCAGTGTGAGTTAGTTATTTTTTAAAACATTAGTTTTATCCACTTAGGAGCCCCTTCTATGGGTGTCAGCCAAACTTTGACAATGAAGAAACTTAGGTTGGCAACAAAATAAAAGGACACACAAATACTTTCTAAAAGAAATTTGGGTGCAGACTGAAAAGAGGCTCTCAACCAAAGACAGAACTCTGTGATTCGATACTGTGTGAATAGTTATCATCACACTATTCAGCATTGTTAAGTTAATGCCGTTAGATGGAGTATTGAACTCACTGACAAAGAATAAAAAGCTATACTTTAAATAAGAAATAAAATTTAGAAGGTATTGATGTTGATAATTGAATATAATAAGTATTTTAAACTATAATCAACAGCACTGAAATTTATTGCCAGATCTTTATATTATAACTCCATAAATTTGTTCAGAGAACAGAAATGTAAAGTACAACATTGAAGACAAGGAACAGAGCCAAGGTTATCACTTCTTACAACAATATTAGTTTACATCCATATATATATAAAAACATAAAATGTTTTATGATTAGCATATAAATATAAAAGATATAGATTATATAGTGTACACATAAATGCACATGCTCTGCAAAATAATATCATGCTACTAATAAATTTTGCTTCTGGTTTGACTTACGTTAATATTTATGACACATTCTGCTATTGTTTCATACAAGTGTTAAGTACAGTATTTAATATTAATAAATAATCATCTTATTGGTGTCTATTACTGGCATTGCTGAACATTACTCACTCTACTGTTTGCCAGAGAGAGAGCCTGGACTTCATATATGCATTTTTAAAAATGATCCTACATGAAACATACCCTTCACACAACTTTTCATTCTCCAATTACGTTTTAGATATGTATATATTTTAATCTTAGAACATCCTGAACTGTTCCCTTTAACAAACAAAAAATGCCATCTGTGAGAACGTACATGAAAACATATTCAGATTTTAATTACACATCTCATGGCAAAAATGCATTCAAGAGCAGGTCTAGGGACAGACATGTAAAATCTCTGAAAACCAGAGAGCAATGATTTCTTCTGGCTGACTTTATTTCTGTAAATGAAAACGTGTGAGCTTGGGATTTGAACAGTCTGAGACTATCACTGCTTTTTTCAACTTACAATAAAGTGTTTGCATACAGTAAAATTTTCTATGGTACCTAAACAGTAATTGAACGTAATTAGATTTAGATATCAGTCAATGCTACAACTCTAAAACGAAATGCTTTCAGGAACAGTGTTCTATCTGAAGAAAGGTTACCAAATAAGAATAACTTAAGGGCCAGGAAGATGGAAAGACAGACACAGGACAAAAGGCATATGCGACAAATGACAATAGAAAAGTGATAATTAAAATAGAAATGCTTAACTTCTCTATATCATTGACATTTTCCTTACCAATTTAACAGTTTTTTTATTATTGATTGAATAAGTGTTAAGAATTACAGAAACTCATCTGTTCAATCTTTTATTATGATAATAACGGAGTTAAAAGACCTTTCTTTTTCTCTTTCCTTCTCTCTGCTTCACATGGAAAACTCTATTTTAGATTTCATATAGTAATACATTTCCTAATATCTTAATTTAGAAGAGCTTTTCTTCAATGATACCAATAAATCTCCAGGGTTTAATGTTTAACTCAATTTTCTCGTTCTTCACTCCAAGAAAGCTGTATTTTTATACATTTAATGTATGTTTCTACACATTCATGTTCAACAATCCTGACATTTACACTATCTTAAGTCAAGAAAACACTATATAATATATACCACATAAAAATACAGAATCTACATTTATATTTAGAAATTTCTTTAAAGATCTACATACGTTCTTGTTACATCTTGTTCAATCATTGCTCGAAGCTCTTTATCCTGGAAAAATTTATTCCAAAGACTCTGAAATAAGGAAAAATAATTATATGAAACAAAGGCTTGTACTAATATATGAGGCTTTGCTTTGTACAACAAAATACTGTACAAATATTAACTAATTAATCCTCACCAATCCTGGAAACGCACATTAATTTTTGGGGGGTGAAAAAGAATGTTAGTGACTTGTCTGTAGTATCCTAGAAAGTCAGTTTATATGAAAACATGTAAGTTTATGGATCCTACTACTTTGCTTACTGTATTAATTTGGTGGAAGGCTGCAGGTTTTTTGAGTTACTTGTAAGAATATGTAGTAAAGTGGAGTAAATTCAAACTCACAAGAACCAATAGCTGAACTGAAGAAGGTCCAGTTCATTGTGCTACATTTCTCCTATGAGTATATGGACTCTAATTAGAAGCTGCAACAATTTCCATGCTAAAAAATTGTTTGCAACCAAGCTACTTTGTCTTAGTGAAGGAAAAATCAAATAAGGAATGTATGATGATTAAACACCTATTATGAAAATGATACCATTCTAATTGTACAAATAGAGCAGAACAAAACTGGCAATTCTAGAAAGGCTTTTTTATTTAAAATCAGAATCTTTGAAGCTCATTGTCAACATAAATAATATAAAATAACAGTCTGGAGCACATTTAGTTTCTTCTGTATCTGTTTTTATAATCATTTCCATTATCTCTTTTTTGTTTTTGCGGCTTGCTTAGCAATATTTTGCAAAAGCTAACCTGCCAGGTGTCAGCAAATGTTGTTTGTATGCCTGAGAAAGCGTAGTGTAGGAGCCTATCCTACTGTAGAATTGGTAGCCTGGCCATACTGATCTAAGTATAGAAGGAACAGAATCTATAGCAGTATTTTCATTTAGGATAGCTCTCAGATAGCAGCAGAAGCAGCATCACTGAATGCAATACTGTACAAGCAGAGTGGTTACAATACTCTCAGAATTTCTTCCTTCTCTGTTAACGACTGTAACCACTCTGCTTGTGCAGTATTGCATTCAATGATGCTTAGGTTGCACAGAAAGAAAAGGGAAAGTATATCAGTGTTAGCTCGCAGAAGAAAGATAAAATAACAAAGTAAAATGTTAATTAGCATCTATATTTGCATCACAAAATGTGAAGAAAACAAAAATATTTAAAACTATTATGTATCCTTGACAATATCTTATTAATTGGACCTAGATCACATTTTGAAACTCGCTTTCCTTCCCCTATCCAAACAGTTCATCAAACCAAAATGCAAAGGAAACAGAATCTTGATTGCTAAAAAGAAAGGAAAACCCAGGACACAAAAGGTAAAATGTTTAGAGACTGAAAGGCACTCAGCTCTTTATCCCTATGTCTGATTTGTCCTGTGGCTTTGTTTTACAGACTATGTCCCTGACATGTCAACCTTTGTTTTCTCTCCTCAAAAGATAATCACAGGCAGAAAGAAGGTTGTGTTGCTGAGTATTATCATAAACTACAACAAGACCACTTTAAATCTTTTGCATGTGATACAACTTTCTGTACAACTGCGTTCAACAAAGGTTTGATGGCATATACAGTCATACTGGCTGCAGAACCACAAAGGTGCCTATGATCAATGCTTCCACGTTTCAGCAAACCTATTCAAACATCTCTCCTTCTGTATTAAATATGAAACAGAAAACTACACTAAATACAAACAAATATGGGTTTCTGCTTGTGAACAACGTAGGACCCCTCCATCAGAGAGATCTGTGAAAGTCTTTCCAGGTGTAAATATCTTAAATACTGCCAAACAAATTATTTTAATCACATTAAGATTTTTAAGAAAACTTGCCCTCCCCATTCCCCCCCAAAAAAATGAACTTTCAAAAATGGTAAGAAGCTAAAAAAATGTCATTAGCAGACACGCTTGAAGATATGAGATATAACATACTGAATATCTTTTTACATATAATAAAATGGAGTAAAAAAGCAATGTATAAAAATAAAGTTGCCTAAAATTAACCTGTCAGTGAAGTGTCACAGCTTTGAAAATACTTTCTGCTTTCTTATTAGAGATGTCAGGATGATGATGATGATAATTGTAGGAAATACATCAATAGAACAAAGGGTTAACTTACCCCCTCATCTTGAGAGAGCGGATTGTTGATTATCAGATCTTGCTGTCCTGCTTTTCGAGGGTTTGTAATGTGCTGGATAAGAACAGAAAAAAATTAAATCTTTCCACGCTATACTACAAGCATTTGTACCTACATGAAATCATGAGACTCTATTTTATACCAACTTACGATTTCTTTTATCTTATTATATGAAGTTCTTAATTCTGAAGTGTTTTTAATCCATTGACTTCTGTCTTGGGGTAGCACCTCCAGAAACAACTATTAACAAATCAAAATACAAACAATTAATTTAATCAATGTAATACAGCTTTTCATATAAATCCCACCAGATAGCATAATCTGAAGACTGAAGGAAGGACACACAAATATTCTACAATTAGGGAAAAGGAAGTAAAGACCTATAGAATAATCCTGACTTTAGGACTTTCCAGTCAATACACAAACAAGCTAGAAACAATTACAGTTCTATTATACAACAGAAATTATTAGATCCTATTGATACCACAAACTCAAGTTTGTAAGCTGTAGCAGCTCTAGTAGAGTTGACTATGACTTCCAAGGCAGAAACAAAATGCAAAGAAGGGATAAAAATGAATATATAAATCTTAGAGCTATTTACATGACATTGAGGAGTTGCTGTAACATGCCTAAAACCAAGTATGAGTGCTGAGCAGAAACTAACTACTCAGAGAGAGACTCTGCCTAAGAAATGAGGAAAGGGTAAATCTTAGTCTATATAAAAGAAGTACATTCTAAAATTCTGTGAAAAACTCAAAAGATTTAATTGTGCAAAAAATCCTTGACAATATCTACATCTCAGTTCTTTCAGATTTCTGTTTAAATGAGGCTAGAAAGAAACATCTATTGGAAAATGCTATTTAATTGCATCTAAAATAAAGCAAAATAAGTGTTTTCTTAATTTTTAAAGTATGCTTTCATGTACATATTATAAAGGATTATGAAACAGCAAATATTGACAAAAAAACCCAACATTCTCAAATTGCTAAAAAGATGTATTTCAGAAGTTAACGAAAGCACTGATAGCATCTTCAAAATAAACAATTTGAAACAGAGTCCTAACCCATTTCAGGACATGCAAATACAACCAGTCTAATTTCTAGAATTATTCATTATCTTTATTATCTTTAAATTTGTTCAATGCCATCCATATACATGAAGCTTCTGAAATTTGTTTATTTAATGGACAAAGTGTATTTCAATTTTCTTTTCAAAAGTCAAGGTTGAGATTCCAAGTGAGGTCATTTAAATTATTGATGCTAACACAGAGCAACTCTACCAGGAAAAATGTTCTCTATTATCAAAGCTACATCAGATGCCAGTGCAACACAGCTCTTCTGGACATTATATACCACCTCAGTGCAACTGTACTTTTTCTCCCTGCCTTTCTCTGCAACTATTGAAAAATGTAGTGAGGAACCTCTAAGCATCTTTTGTGTTTCTGCCTTTTTTCTCCAGTCATGACAAGAGGGGTTGGTCCTCATTTTCTCATTTCTCTGGGAAGAAGTTTTAGGAGAAGCATCCAACTGATTTTAAAGGAGTTTAAATTTCCATATCATGAAACATGAATTCAGAGAAACTTTTCTACTTCCATTGCATGGTTTAAATGTGCAGACGCTGACAGGAGAAACTGCTGTATTGTACTCAATTTTAAACGTAACACCCAACACAAAGATAGTCTTTCCAAGGAATCATTTGCTATCACTCACAATTCAGCTTTAAGGCAACTCAATATGATTAGCAAATGTCCTATGAATTACAAAACCGAGGAGGAAAACATTGGGATGAAGTCTGCTGGAAAATTCATGATTCTTTGCATCAATAATCTTCCAGCGCATCAGGTAATGTGTTGATATATTGCAACCACAAACTGTAAATAAATATTTTCTCTTCTTACCTTCCAGCAAACACTACGGAACCTGCTGCTTCTCAGCTGCCCATTAATCCCCTTCAGCCGTATAGTTGCCAAGTAATTGTTGTTTACAAATAGTTCTTCCCATTCTTTACTGTGTTCAAAAGCAAAAGGAATGAACATTTATGCAAAAAAAAGAAAAAAAGAAAAAAAGAAAAAAAAAAGCCACAGCTGATTTAAGGACGATATGACACTACACAGTTTTGGATAAGGAGAGAAAAGCAACTCTTTTAAAATGTATATATTTAGTTGTGTGCCATTTCTAAACGCATGGCTGTCTTTTTGGACACATTTCTTCTTTGGATTTAATGAATATGTAGATCGCTATAATTATGCCAGCTACTGAAATTCATAATGTCTATGGAGGCTATTCCATTTCCTCTAAAATGTTGGTACTGCAGTTCAGTGAATAAACAAGAAAAATGAATATTAATATAAGCACATTCATGTTTCAGCTCTAGACAAAGAAGTACCTATTCCAAAAATATGCAATAGAAAAGTATACTGTTGACTGTATTAGCTCCTCATGACATATTTGCTTAAATGAACCTTCTTTTCTTCTTAATGTCAAGCTGGGCAGTTAAGCATAATAGAAGATGACTTTCTTTAACATCTAGTGCTATTTACTATTGAAATCACTCCTACTTCTTTCTACATGATCAGTTTTAAAATTTTAACAGGTGCTAGCAAATTTAAAAAAACATCAAAAAATTAAAAAGCTTCACTGTATAAACTGTTAAAGGCAAGCTTGAGTACCTTGCAGTACCTATGGCTGACTAGATAAACAACCTAAATATGCCTCCCAGGCATGCAGGCACCAGGGGCCTAACACCTGTGCCTCATTAATATACAAGTAAATCTGTTCTACTGGGAAACAATTGGAAATTAATTGTCCCAAACCATCTACTGAGTTTGAATAAAAGAATTAAATCTATATTTCCTGCACCTTCTACTGAAACGAATCTCAAGAACAGCATAAGCTCAAGTGATGGTCCTAGTGGCCCTAGACTTCCTGACAGACATTCTCCATCCTCTCTAAAATTCTAATGGCAACTGCAATGCAAAGAGCTGGGCTATGTGCAAGGAAATGTGTTTCTGATTTATTTTCATTGCATGTCCTTAAGGTGAACATCTCCTTCTCTGACTGTCACAAGGGAGACTATTACTTCTCCCTGGGAGACCAAATGAAACCAGAAAGAGGGAAACTATTATTGTGACTCCAGGGTAAGATCTCACCAGACTTTCTTCAGCAGTTAAAGTCACAGAATAGGTTATACTAAATAGTAACAAATTCTTGCTTTAAAAACTGCCCTAAATATATGCAAGCTAAATTTAGATAGTTTTCAATCTTATAAGCTGAGTTGCGAGAAGGACTTTTTTTAAACTTTGTTTTAGATAGAACTTGTGCAGTTTCTGAAAAAGAATTATAAGATACAGTTGCTGGGAATGGATCATACCATTATAGTTCTGCTCCTCTGAGATAGGAGGAAACTCATCATCCATGCTAGGACTAGACTTGTGCTTACAAATGCACCATCACCTTTCAGCCAGGACCAACATGGGCTGGACTGGATGACCTTGGAGGTCTTTTCCAACCTTGGTGATTCTACGATTTCACAGTTTTCTAAAAAATGGTTGTTCGTTCCCAGATCTTGATTATTAATTCACTGAAAAGCAAATGTACTCGGGATAAGAACAATGATGACTGAAGCTGACTTTTAGCTTCTGCTACCAATATTCCCAAGTGACTAAAATAGCACTAGTAACTACAGTAGTGTGGGGAAACTTCCTTCCTTGTTGCCACATCCCTTGGTCTATAAGTCAGAAAGCCTATCTACTCATTTCACTGCTTCCGTATCTCCTCTACATCCCAATCTTCTGCAGCGAGCTGCCTGATTGTTTACCACAATTCTACCTCCTCTAAATACAGCGTATGGTATATAGCAGACACAGCTTGAGAAAAATCTGGCCTTTTCTTTGATAGTCATTTATACTTCAGTAACTACAGTATATTATGCCTATCTAAATAACCCTCCTGTTTCTATCATGTATAATATTCTTCATTTGCCATTGTAAATTTTGTAGCATCATTGGCCATTATAACTTCTGCCAAGCTGCCTCCCTAAGGTAGCAGTGCTTTGAGAGTGATGCTTTCCCCTGTGCACAAAACAGGTCAAATTCTGAAGCTATTCACATTGTTCTAAAAGTGGACCACATTCTACAAAGTCATTCAAAATACTGAGATGTCAGCTGAGTCAGTAAAAGGTTTGAACCTGTGCAACTGCAAATAGAAGGAATGAAGAGGAAGAAACCTCAAAAGGTTATTTTTTTCACTAACTGTTGAGAGTGATTGCTATGCAGTAATTTCAACACTTCTCAAATTGTATTAGTGCAGATGACATTATGCTTTTTAAAAGAAACTTATAATGCAATTCCAAACATATTTTGAACAAAATTGCATTTAAAACAGCCAAAAGAAATTTGGCAAGATTATATCTCCTCTCCATCCTGCCTTGGCTGCTGGGATAACTAAAACGGAAAGTTATATGTGACAGAAAAAAAGACTTTTGTGTAAATAGAAGTTGGAATCTGTCACAGTTTTAGGAAAGCTAAATGATATCTAAAATCCTTTCTGAAGAGCATCCACTAATTTGTTTCTCAGATATTTTGAATTAAAGGTAATAAATGAAACCTCGCAATTGTAGAGACTGTTTCAGTAATGGCAACACCATGCAATATCAACAAACTTTCAATTCTAAAAGAATAATTTCAGAAATGATATGGCCCTGCTCTGTAAAACTAATATATCTGAGCCTTGTTAACCCAGGCTTGTAGAAATCTCATCGGTCAAAGGGAAATGAGCAATAAAGATCACAGATCAAGTCTACCACATCCCATTTGCTTCACTGAAGTTGCATCCCATTTGCTTCTACGGCCAGTTGGAGTGACTTAAACTGTGAATAAGAACATGCAATTGCTTCTAATCAAACTAGAAAATTAAACGTATAATAATGTGTTACAGTAGCACTTTTAAGTCGTACAATTAAAATATAGGTAAATATAAATGTTAGTGTTTTCTGGTTACTTTGTACACATTTTTACTTTATATTCTCACTTGTTTAAACATGCAGTCTAATAGGTTGTGGTACATACTGTAAACTTTTAATAATGTAAAACCTATGGGGAAAAAGTAATTAGATTAATGTTCCTTTAAAAAACTTAATTTCATGTGGTGTATCTATGCAGTGAAGGTTCAATGTAAAATATTTGTTGAGACAGTTGGATTATTTAGATGAAAAACCAAGCAAAATGGAGGGGATGAAGGCTGCAGATCTGTTCTGCAAGGTTTTTTTCTTAATTCTCATCTCTTGAAACACGTATTTCTACTATAAGCATGGCAGAGTTTGAGTCTGTCTCTGAATTAATTTTACGTTGGGGCCTGCTCTGGCACACATACTTTTTTCCTTATACAAAATGAGGTTGATCTCTCAGCAAACCATATATATTTGTTCTTTCTTTCCAACAGGACACATCTTAGGATATATTTTAGAGCTATAACAGTTGTAAAGACAATTAAAAACATTAGGTTTTGAGAGAAAAAAATCTGAAGTTTTCAAAGAGAAGAGTCACTGTCTGACAATACACTGTAAGGAAAGGAACGAGAAGCCTAGAAAATAATTCTGGAATAACAGTTCCTGGAGTTTTACTGAGGCAATGCTGAGCTGTGGGAGTTTTGGGGTATAGGTAACAAAGACATTCTTCCACTGAGAGCCTATAGTGGAGTATCAGCCTCAAGGTCTTTTGCTTAATTTTAATCTGCATCATAATGGTAAATCATATACACCAATAACAGATATGCAGAATAACACCTTAGCCTACCTAAGCTCATTACAAAATAAATACCCTTTTCAAAAACAGAAAGAAGACAAAAGAGAAAAAGTGATACAGCACAGATATTCTGGCAAACAATGCCAGCTAACTTCTATACATACTGATTTATGAAATACTGCTGCTGATGCATACAAATGCAGTCTTCCAAAGTTTAACAATAGTATAAAAATATTTTTGTACCATGATGTTCAAACAACATCAAACACCAGGGAAGGCACGAAAACTCATAAAAATGTAGAAATGTAAATGAGGAACAAGCACAGTGAACTAAAATCTATGTCACTGAAGATTATGTTCTGGGACTGCAAGGGCTAGGACCTACTGGCTAATGTTACTATCCATGATTACTGAAATTTCATTTCAAACAACAGATAATGAAGAAACCTGTACCTGACAACTTATTAAACAGTGTGTATAGTTATTTTGTCTCATGTATTTATCTTCTGAATGTACCTTTTAAAGTGCTGAGACCCAAACTCAGTTCCTGGGAGGCACCCAACGAAGCAACAGGCTAACAGTCCATCAGAAAGAAGAAAAGTCCACTAATTATCATGTGATATGTTTTGCAATATGAGGTCTTTATCGATAGGAACATCAGTAAGTGAATAAAGTATTTACATTCAAATGCAAGAGCTCTGTTCAAATGTGATGCATATATCCAAGAAGCATGCATAGTTTGTATTATTTATTAGGCCATAAAAAGAACATTTGAGAAAAAAGTGAAGCAAAAGCCAGGAGTGTAATGAAAACAGAATTTTTTCTATAAAAACCTGAAAAAAAAGCAATTGAAATGTAGTATCAAGTAATAAGCAGAAAGTTTCTAAAACATAAACATTTCCAAAATACACAGATTTACATTTGATATCCTGAAAATCTACTTGAATGCTTTCATGTGAAAGCTTATTGCTCTTCTTGGAAAATATATGTCTTTTTTGATGTTGTTCCTCATAGCTGCACTACTAGGAGGCTCACAATTCGAAGGCCAGGTTTTCTAAGCTTTTAGGGTTTCACTTAGTTTTGGCTGACATAGAGTTAAAAAGGTTTGGATGAATAAAAGTAAAATCATTTCCTTAACATAAGCAAAAACCTAACATTATTGAAGTTGATAGCATGCGTGCAAGTGTAGACCGGAGAGGAAACAAAAGTCTTTGTGGTCAGCAAATCTCTACCTGCAGCAGCATTTCATCGGGTACAGAACTCTGT